TACCCCCTCGTGTTAGCGTCAGCGGGAAGTCTAGAGGGGACCTTGATCATCTAACATGTATTAAAACTACAAGTCGGCTAAATGTGTCACAAATAGACACATCTCCCCTAGTGAAAACAAGGCTTAAACCCAGGTTTTGCTCCATTTACTGCTGCCAGACGTGCAGAACCAACCCAGCTCTTCTCCGCCTTGCATGTCATCAGCAGAAATGCACCCAGTGCAGTGCAAAACCCAGGCTGTATCATTCATCCACATGGACCCATCTTCTCCCATCAAGCACTTCCAGAGAGTAGAGTTCTCTACGTTCCTAGATGTCACCCTAGATCTAAGCATGCTAATGTGCTATGGCGCCCCCTGTTGGGAAGCGATCAATTGTAACACCAACCATTAATGAAGTAACTACTCGGAGTAGCTCCTGGGAAAGGGAACCTCTGACCTCTGGTGCGGGGTGAGGGGGAAGGGTGTCAGAGGCCCTGGTTCAAAGGTGAATGACGAGGGGTCAGTTGTGACGGTGCTGCCAATACACTGGTGGCTAGGAAAGGCCTATAGGCCATCTGAGGACCCGAGTCTGGTTTGCTGGGTAAGAGTGAATTACCACTGGGCTCACACACTGGAGAGCAATGGGATGACAGGGTTGAGAAGGTACAAGTGCGTTCCCTCTCCCACCCAAGAGACAGGTGGTCCCCTCAGTCTGTCTATCCTTCCCAGTTGGAGCATTATCTGAGCAAGGCAGACACAAAAAGCTCCCAGCACAACCTTGGAAGGGAGCAAGTGAAGAAACAAAAGCCCCGTCCCTTCTCACCGCTGACTAAGTATCCGATGGCCTTGGATTTGGTCTCCTCGCTCAGCTGCCCCGTCTTATTCAGATAGTCCAGGACGTAGATGTTGGGGGCAAACAGGACCATGTTCTGCTCCCCGCAGCCGAAGGGCATCTGGAGGAGCTGCTGCAGGTTCTGCATGGCTGTGCCCAGGATATCGCCTGGGGATGGAGATACAGGGAGTCAGTGTGGCCCAGAGCCGGCCTGCGGAGGCAGAGTGCACCACAGAGCAAGGATGCTACTGTGAGACATCCATAACAGGCTTGTGAGATCACAGGCAATAGGAGGGAAAGAGAGAGAGATACACAGAGAAAGAAGGAGACAGAGAAGGGACACATGAAAGGCAAAGTGAAGGGCGTGCTGCTGGAAGGACAGATGGGAGCACTAGGCTGGACGAATTGCTAGAGACGTGGGCCCAGAGGCAGAGACAGGGGAAGGAGAGAGAAAAAGGGGTGAAGTGCTAGCAAGAGACTGCAGCAGTGGGTAGCTGGGGGATAAATGGAGGGGCTGTGACGGGTGCACAACGGGGTGAGGAGTGGAATGGGTGGAAAGACCACTAACGTCAGGCACGGGGAAGGGACGGCAACAGCACCCAAAGCCGGGCTCTTCGGACGGCCTCACTTACCCAGCACTGAGAAATAGGCTCTGGCCGAGCCCTGCGCCACGTTCTCTGGGAGCTTCAGGGACACTGGCTGAGGCACTGTCTTTCCTGGGGAAAAGTGACATAGATGGGATTGTAGTAAAATCCCCCCATGTAGCAGTGACCAGTCCCCAGCACAGGAGCTGGGACACTGCCCCTGCTGGTGTCTTTCCCATGG